AAAAATGTAAAAATAAATAAATTATTTTAAAAAGTATTTAACAGACACAAGAATGTAAGGTTCTTCGTTTAAAAATTATATGTATGGTAATATCCTTGATTATCACATACTGCATGAATGCTTTGAAAAATCATATTATACACCATAAAGATATATAAAAATTAAATGAAAAAAAGAAACTATATTAAAAAAGCAACTAGAATACCACATAAAAAAGAAAAAGACTCTCAGCAAAATCGGCATAGAAGAGTCATTCATCAACACAATAAAAGCTATCTATGAAAAAACAATAGCTAACATCATTCTGAATGGGGAAAAACTGAAAGCTTTTCCACTGAGAACTGGTGCAAGACAGGATGCCCACTTTCTCCACTCCTTTTCAATATAGTACTAGAAGTCCTTGCTAATGCAATCAGAAAAGAGAATAAAATAAAAGGCATTCAAATAGGAAAATAAGAAGTGAAATTATTTCTATTGCCAGATGACATGATTGTAAGCATAGAAGACCCAAAGGTATCTTTGAAAATATTCCTGCAAGTAATAAATGAAAACAGTAAAGTGACAGGCTATAAATTAACATACAAAAATCTATAGCATTTCTATATATAAGTAGCAAACAGACTGTGATAGAACTGAAGAAGATAATTCCACTTACAATAGCCACAAGTATAAGATACCTAAAAACAACTCTAACCAAAGAAGTCAAAGACTTGCACAAAAAAACCATGAGAAGCTAAAAAATAAATTGAAAATGATACAAAAAAGTGTAAGAACATCCATGTTCTTGAATCAGAAGAATTAATATAATCAAAATGACAATTCTACCCAAATTAACCTACATATTTAATGCGATCCCAATAAAAGTATCAGAGACATTCTTCACAGATATAGAAAAGACATGATAGAATTTGTCTGGAATCATAAAAGACCTGTATTGCTAAAGTCATCCAGGTCACTCCCTGACCCCAAAATATATTACAAATCTGTGATAATCAAAACAGTATGGTTTTGGGGGCCAGCAGGTGGCATGGTGGTTAAGATGGCTGGACTCCCACATGGCTGACTACAGTTTGAGACCAGGACCTGGCAGCTTGATTTCTCACTTTCCTTTTCTCTCTCTGTCTCTCTCTGGTCAACTTCAATAAAATAAAATAAAATAAAATAAAATAAAATAAAATAAAATAATGACGTTGGATAAAATAATTATTAAAAAAAAATACAGCATGGGGGCTGGCAAGTGGTATGGTGGTTAAGAGTGTTGAACTCCCACATGGCTGACTGCGGTTTGAGTCCTGGACCTGGCGGCTTGGTTTTTCCCCTTCTTCCCTCTCTGGTTAAAATAAAATAAGTAAGTAAATAAATAAATAAATTATTATTAAATGAAATTATTCTTTAAAAAAATATGGTATTGGCACAAAAATAGATATGTGGGGACCAGCAGATGGAATAATGGCTATGTTGTTGGACCCCCATGTAGTTGATTACAGTTTGAATCCCAGACTCAGTGTCTTAAACTCACGCTGAGTGTAGTGCGTGTGTGCTCAAGATCCTAAGAGGACAACAGAGGAGAAGGGACTACGGTGTGGCCATCCACGCTGGGGGATGAGTTCTCGCTTTCTGTCTCTGTCTCTCTGTCTTTCTGGTGAGCGCATGCACCCTATAGCAAAAACCTCTCCAAAAAAAAAAAAATGTGAACCAGTGGAACAGAATACAGATCTTAGAAGTAAACATGAAACCATATAGTCAAGGTGACCAGAAGTTAGCGTAATGGCTATGTCGCTGGACTCCCATGTAGTCCACCGCGGTTCGCGTCCTGGACTCGGTGACTTAAAACTCACGCCAGGTGCGTGTGCATGCGTGTCCAAGATCCTGAGAGGAGAATGGAGAAGAAGGGATTGTGGCATGGCCGTCCCCCCTGGGGGGTGATTTCTCGCTTTCTATATCTCTGTCTCTCTCTGTCTGTCTGGTGAGCACATGCGCCCTATAGCAAAAACCTCTCCAAAAAAAGAAAAAAAAAACATATAGTCAACTGATTTTTGACAAATTATACTAGTCGATCCAGTGGGAAAAGGAAAACCTCTTTAGCAAATGTTTCTGGGAAAAAAGGGTATCCACCTGCAGAAAGATGAATCTGGACCCCTACCTCTCACCATTGACAAAATCAACTCAAAGTGGATCAAAGATCTAAACTTAAGACCTCAAAGTACTGGTAGAAAACAAGGGGATAATTCTGGGAAACATTGGGGTAGCAAAAACTTCTTAAATAAGAACTCCAGGGACCAGCAGTTAGCGAAATGGCTATGTCACTGGACTCCCATATAGTCTACCACAGTTTGAGTCCTGGACCCTGTGGCTTAAACTCACACTGGGCACGTATGTGTGCATGCCCAAATCCCAAGAGGAAAATGGAGGAGAAAGGATTGCAGTGTGGCCATCCTCCCGGGGGGTGGGGGGGTGATTTCTCTCTTTCTGTCTCTCTGTCTCTGTCTGACTTTCTGGAGAGCACACGTGCCCTATAGCAAAAAACTCTTAAAAAAAAAAAAAAAGAACTCCAAAGCACAGTCAATAATCCCCAAAATAGACAACTGGGGTTACATTAGATTAAAAAGTTTCTTTACGGTGAAAGACACAGTAATTAGCTTGAATCGACAGCCCTCAGATGGGAAAACATTTTGTAAGCCCTGTTTCACATAAGGAACTAATAACCAGAACACACCAGGAAGTCAAGAGGTTTACCTCCTCCAAAAAATAATGATCAGCCCAATTAAAAGATGGGAAAATGGATAAAACAACTCTCTAAGGAAGTCATATGAACAGCCAAAAGGCGTATAAAAATAATGCTCAACATCCCTCATAATAAAGGAGATCAAAACCACAATGAGAAACCACTAACCTCCACTCAGAATGATTATGATTAAAAAAAAAAATGCTAAGTGCTGGCAGGAATGTGGTATAATTTACATTCCACTGCTTGTGGGAATGTAAATTGGTCCAGCCACTGTGGAGAACAATATGAAGGTTCCTTAAAGATCTGCAAATAGAACTGCCATATGGTCCAGCCATCCCACTCCTGTGTATCTACCCAAAGGATAAGAGAGTGTTAGTTGGGGGAACCAGGCAGTTAGCGTAATGGCTATGTCGCTGGACTCCCATGTAGTCGACTGCAGTTCACGTCCCGGACCCGGTGGCTTAAAACTCACACCGGGCGCGTGTGCGTGCGTGCCCAAGATCCCGAGAGGAGAATGGAGGAGAAGGGATTGCGGCATGACCATCCCCCCTGGGGGG